GGTGATCTTTCCACCTCAGCCTTCCAAGTAGCTGGAACTACAGGTGCATACCACCACACAAGGCTAATTTTTTGATTTATGGTAGAGACAAGGTCTCGTCAAGTTGCCCAGGCTGGTCTTGAACCTCTGGGCTCAGGCAATCCTCTTGCCTTGGTCTCCCAAAGCGCTGAGATCACAGGCATGAACCACTGTGCCCGGCTGATATTATCATTATTATAGATCATTGAATTCAAAGTACTAATATTTTGTTTAGGATTTTTACACCTATGCTTATGAGATAGACCTGCAATTTTCTGTTATTATAGTATCCTTTATGTTTGACTACAAGGTTTCACTATCCTCATAAGCCAAGTTGGGAAAAAAGTTATAATGCATTATTTTATCATTTTCTGGAAGAGTTTGTAAAAGACCAGTGCTATTTCTTCCTTAAATACTTAGAAGTACTCAATGGTGAAATCATCTGGGCCTGTGGGAATATTTTAAACTACAGATTCTATTTTGATATATCCCTTCACACTTTCTAATTTTCTACTTTTTCTTGAGTTAGTCTAGCTAGGTTAAATAAATTTGAGCAATTGATCTACATTTTCAAATGTATTGGTATTAAGTTATCTATAATAGTCTTTTTTCTTTTCAGTGTCTGCAGTGATATCCACATTTTTCTTCTCAATATTGACAATTTCTGTTTTTAAAAAATTCTTTTTCTTGGCCAGGCATAATGCTCATGCCTGTAATCCCAGCACTTTGGGAGACTGCAGCAGGAGGACTGCTTGAGCCCAGAAGTTTGAGACTAGCCTGGGCAACATAGTGAAAACTCATCTGGATTAAAAAAAAAAAAAAAAAATTAGCTAGGCATTAGCTTGCAGTCCTAACTACTTGGAAGGCTGAGGTGGAAAAATCACCTGAGCCCAGGAAGTTGAGGCTGTGGTGGGCCGTGATTATTCCACTGCACTCTAGCCTGGATGACAAAGCAAGACTCCAACAATGCCCCCTCCAATTTTCTTTCTTGATGATTTTTGCCCAAGTTTATATATTTTCTTTATCTTTTCCAGTAGCCAAAATTTGGTTTCACAGATTTTTCTCTATTGTACAAATGCTTTTGATTTCATTTATTTCTTTATTATCACACTTCTTCTACTTGCTTTAGGTTTAACTTACAGGGATTCTGGTTTTTTTCCCCCCTACAATCATGAGCTGAAAGTTCAGATCATTGCCAGTCTTGCTCCTTCTAATGTATGCACTTAAAGCTATACATTTTCTTGTTACTACAACTTTAACTGTACCCCACCATTTTGCTATCTCATATCTTTATTACCATTTAGTTCAAAATGTTTTTCCATTTTCACTGTAATTTAGAAATACATGGCTTAACTTCTAAATAATTGAGAATTGTCTTGTTATCTTTTTGTTGACTTATAGCTTAAATTCATTATGGTCAAAGAATCTATCTTAATATTTTCAGTTCTTGAAATTTGCAGGCACTTGTTCTATAGCCCAGCATATGATCAATTTTATAAAATGTTTCATGAGCACTTAAAAAGGGTATGTATTCAGTAGTTGTGGAAAGCAGGGTTCAATATATGCCAATTACATCAAGTTTTTCATATCATTTGCATCCTTTCTAAATTCCCGTTTGCTAGGTATCGAAGTTATAATATTAGAGCCTATAACCTTAAAATTTTTATATCTCCCTGACGGGTTGACCTTTTTATCATTATGAGACACCTTTATCTAAAGTAATGCCTTTTACCTTCAAGTATAATTTAGACTATCTTTCTATTGGTTAATCTTTACATGCTACATCTATTTCTATCCTTTTGCTTTCAACCTTTTTATATCTTTATATTTAAGTATGTGTCTTGTAAACAGCATATCACTGAGATTTTTCAGTTGATTTTAACTTAGTCTTTTATTTGACATATTTACTCTTAACATTTAATGTAATCATCAATATTTTTTAATTTGTATCTGTCAATCTGTTATTTATTTTCTCTTTGTCAATCTGTTTTATGTTTCTTTTTTCTCATTTCTTGCCTTCTTTTACAAATCAAATATTTTTTGTTTTTCCACATTATTACTTTAAGTTATATATTCTTTTACTACTTTTTTAGTGGTTACTTTGAAATTATAACAAACATCCATGACATTTTAAAGTCTAAATCACTTTTATTACTTTTACCACTTCTCAGATGACACATGGAGCTTAGAATAGTTCGTTTCCACTTGACCAACTGTTTTTTGCGTTGTTGTCATGCATTTTAATTCTATATACACTTCAAGCCCCACAAGACATTATAATTATGTTTTCACAGTCAATATACATTTATGTTTACATATATCATTTACTCTTTCCATTGTTCTTCATTCCCTCCTGCCTTTCTGTTTCCATCTGAGATCATTTTCCTTCTTTGGGAACTTTCTTAAGTATGTCTTTTAGTGTAGATCTGCTGATGACAAATTCTGAGTTTTTTGTCTGAAAATATGTTCACAACACTTTCAGTTTTGAAGGGTATTTTCACCAGGTGCAGAATTCTGGGTTGGCTTTCTTTTATAACACGTAAAAGATGACAAACACTGTTTCGGGATTCTGTCATTTCTGTTCTGAAATCAGCTGTCGACCTTTTCATTGCTGCTTTAGGCAATGTCTACCTCTTTCCCCTCGACTGCTTTCAAGAAAATTTCTTTTTCTTTTGCTTGAAGAATTGTACGTCTAGGTATGGTTTTCTTTGTATTGGCCCCACTTTAGGTTAAAAATGTTTCATGAACCTGTGACTTGATGTGTTGGCCATTATCTCTTAAAATGTCACTTCTGCCTTGTTCTTCCTCCTGTCTTCCTGGACTCTGACTACATACATTTAAGAACATTGCATTCTTTCCCCTATGTGTCTCGTGTTTTCTGTACTTCTTCTGGATACTTCTACTAGCCTTTCAGTCCACCAATCTTCTGTTATGGCTATTGCTTTTCTTTTGAGTTTATAATTTTAACTACATTTTTTACTTCTAGAATTTCCATGTAGTACTTTTTAAAAAATATATTTAAATATATACAATTGTCCCTTGATATCCATGGGGAATTAGTTCCAGGATACCCCACTGATACCAAAATCCATGGATGTTCAAGTCCCTTATATAAAATGGTGTACCATATGTATATAATCCACATACTTTCTCCTACATACTTCAAATCATTCCTAAATCATTTATAATGCCTAATACAATGCCTATATATCACTTCATTCTTGCAGACTCAATGTAGTACTTAATATGTGACAAATTCAAGTTTTGCTTTTTGGAACCTTGTGGAATTTTTTTATTCCCTAAATATTTTCAAGCTGCAGTTGGTTAAATTCACAAATATGGAACCCACGGATACAGAGAGCCAACTGTACTTCAGTTTTTTGGTGACTATCTCTATTCTTTTATTATTTAAACATATTAACTTTTAAAATAGGATAATTCAGTAATTGGGCTACCTATGAGTTTATTGATATTGCCCATTTGTTTTTCTCTTAGTCTCTTTTATGTCTGATACTACATATGAAAACATTTTAAAGGCTCTGGATGATGTCTTTAGGGAGGTTTCACCCTATTCTCTCTGCTGGGTGGTTTATCAGAATAAGGAACGGATTACCTTAATCCAATCAAGAATTGCCTCAAAGCTAGTTTGCAGTTTTTGCTAAACTCAGTCTAGCAATTTTTCACCCCCATTCCTAGGGTGTGGGCTCTTCAGAGGTCTTACTGAGAGTCTATGATATTGCCTAGGGTACCTCTCTTTGATAGTGGATATTGCAATTCTGATTTTTTTCTCCTTAGCACTGTGAGACTACAGAAATTTCTAATCTCCCTTTCTGATTTGCTTCTTTGACCTTTGCCTGTACAAAGAATTCAAAGAAATGCCTTGAGGGGAAAATCTCTGAGTTTCATGCCCAATTCTTAGTATGATTGAGTCATGGTCCCTAAAATTGTGTCAATTCCAAACTTCAATTTTTGTTTGCTACAGTCCTGTGAGATTGTTAGAAGCTCTGCTGGCTTCTCTGACTCTTAAATGTGGCCTCTGGCCAGAATATTGGTTTCTTGTCCTACAACAAATGTGAAAAACTCCCACTAAGAGAAAAGCATCTCACAGATAGAGACTCACCATTCTGCATTCACTTCTCTCTAGTATCTAGTGCACTAAAGGTCCAGTTTGCCTGGACAGCTCCCTGATGCTTGCCAACAGACTTTTTTAGCACTGATCTGCTACAAGCGATTTCATTTTAGCTGGAAGCAATTGTCTCAGTCACCTTAACTGTATTGTAAGTCCTGAGTCAAATTTCTCTCTGTACTTTGCCATTATTTATAATTTGCAATGGATGCAAACTCTATACATGGGTTACAAAGAACATGCACACACATATATATAATAGCTCAGATTTGCATAGTATTATAACAAATTGTCAGCATATGATTAAAAATAAGAAAATGTAGTTAGACATAAAAGCCTAAACACTAAAAAAAAAAAAGATGCTTAAGGTATCCAAGAGTACATGTTCAGAATCTTTTAGCTTTCTAGTATACTAGTGTATTCTAGTGTACTCTAGTAGAAACATGTAAAAACTCCAACTAATGCTGGCAAATTTTGCTCTTCATGTTTAAATGTGTTCATCTTTAATTATAGCCTACCCCCTTGAGGACAATTCCTAGGGAGATTTATGAGTGTTAAAGGAAGTAGGAAAGCTCTAAAAGTGTTTTTCAAATTGTGGCTCAAGAAATTAATTTAGTAGCTCACATACAGTAAATATAAAATAGTTCTATGAAAATCAATTCAGTCACTTACATACATTCCCCTATATGTGTGTGCTGAATCTTGACACAAAATGTTATTTTTTACTGTGATTTGTGGTCAGAAAGTTTGAAAACCACTCTCTGTAAAACCATCTTAAGAAGCCTTGCTTTCTCTCCATAAGGCACAAAAGGCCAAGAGATCTGTGATATATTACTGATAGTTGGTCCCTTCTTACCTTTTTAGAACACTTGGCTGTGGTTTTCAGACAGCACTTCTTGTGGCAGGCATACTTGCATACTGAAAAACAGGTTAAGAATGTAGCATTTTTAGATGCCTGCACATCGATGATAACAACTTTTCAAACTTACAACTTCATTTTGTACTGAAGTTTTTTTCTTTAAATCTCGGACTTCTGTAATATCATACATACTTTGTATTATAACCAAGAAGGATTTTAACCCATTCTAATTGGGGATAATGAAGTTGGAAAACATACCTAAAATTTCTAGTCACTGTCAATGAAAAGTCTTTATTCTTTCAAGAACTGTCTGTCCTGCCACACAACCCCCTCAAATTCTAACAGCATACTTATCTATCTTTGTGGTCTGATTCACAAATTAGTGTTCATGTTCTCCCAAATATATGCTCTATAACCTACTAAAATCCCAGAAATTCCTATGACAAATCATTCCTATGGGTAAGAAAAGCTTTACTATCAAAGACCCTGCCTGAAATGAAAACAAATTGGGCAGTACATTATGATATAAGAAAGGTCTTATTTATTATCTCTAATGGTATAGAATAGAGGTCTGAAGAACAAGAACATAAAGAATATCAGTTGTGATTGGGAAGATGAAATTAAAGGTTCAGAGCAAAAATAACTGATTGGAGCAGCAGATAACAGAATGGCTGGGCAGCTGATGAGCAGGAAGAGGGATGCTAGAGATGGATACTGAGAACACACTGGCTTATGTCATTCTGCTACACCAGTTCTGGCTTCCGCATATCAACATCTGAATATTCTTTTTTGAGCTTTTAAAGTATAAATTGAAAGAATAAAGGCTTTTTCACTGACAGTGACTAGAAATTTTAGGCATGTTTTTCAACTTTATTATCCCCAATTAGAATGGTTTAAAATCCCTCTTGGTTATAATACAAGGTACATATGGTATGGTATTACAAGACCAAATGGGGGAGGACATGTCACTGTACTGGTGAAATCACCAGGATAACAAAGAAAGTTAGTTAATTCTATTAAGAAATCAAATCAAACCAAGCCACCATAGTAATTAAAAAGCAACTTCTTTCAACTTTCAGCTTCATGTTACAGAAGAAATTACTCTAAAACCTACAAGAATTAGACCTGCATTAAACAATCAAGTACGTTTCAAACAACTTTCTATTTTTATTCTCATAACAATCTTTTAGACTACTGATAATAAAACAATACAAAAATGGTGTTGAACCATGGATCAAGTGAATATATCCAGGAATAATGGTGATTTTGCTATGGTGAACATGACTTTTATCCTTACTGTCAAGTTGGATCCAGATCTTTTTTCCTTATATTTTCTTCACTCAGTGCTAGCCTACTAGTAAAAGCAAAGCTTCACACAATTAATGATAGCACCAGAGTATACATATAGAATGAGTGGAAGCTAAAGGCCTACTATAAACCAGAACCAAGCTCATCTACAAAGACTTTCCTCTAACATTGTAGGATTTATATATTCTGCTGAAAGGATTATAGTAGAAAAAGTACCTTTCATTTATCCATTCATCCGTCCATCCATCCGATAGGTCAATCTACCCAACATGTATTTATGACAATGTAATATGTGCCATAACTGCTCTAGACACTGGTGATACAGACGGACAGCTGGGTTTCCTGAACTTATAGAGCATTTTAGTGGGATAGACTGAAAAGCAAGTGAATATTTAATATAATTTGGGATGGTAATAAGTACCATAAAGACTATTAAATCTGAGCAAGGGGATAGAGAGTTTGGGAACAAGGTGGCATTTAAATAGGAGAGCAAGGAAAGAGCTCTCTGAGGAGGTAATGTACATACCGTAAGCATGAAATTAAAATATAAAGCCATGACAAAACCTGGGACAAGAGCATTTTCAGACAGAGTGAACAGCAAGTACAAGGCTCTCAGTGACCAAGTAACACCAAATGACCTGATGTGTATAAGAGAATAGGGGAAGGGGAGTATATCAAGAGAATAGGGGAAGGGGAGTATAGCAAGAGATGAGGCTAAAAATTAGACCATGTAAGTTGCTCCTTTATGTTTATGTTAAAGAAGATATGAGAAAACTCAAGGAAATGTAAATGTCAAATGGTTAAAGAAAAGTTCCTCAAAAAAACCTCCAAGATAATACTTACATTTGCAAACTGAGGCTCGGTCCATTATCCATATCAAAGAAGAACAGTATTCACAGTACGTAGGGATGCTATATTGGGTGGCCTTAAAGATGTGACCATTGTGCTCTTCCACCTGAAAAAAAAAATTAGCTATTTACATTAAAGCAAACACAGTAAATGCTGTCCTAACATAGTCAGCCAGTGGGAAATCCTTCAATCCCTTGCCATATCTTCATTGGGCACTAATTCCAGAGAGACAAATGTGACCTTTTGAGAAATAAAATAAAAATAAAATATATGGTCCTTGTTTTCAAAAAGCTAACAATCTAGATAAACATAATCAAATTATATGAAAAACAGAAAGCAATGCAACAAACACATAACAGCTATCTGATATAACTCTAAGTCTGGATGTTAATTAAAAGCAGCAGTTCTCAAATTTCTTTTTGTTTCCTCAGGAATATTTCACACTATTAAAAATTGCAGATGATCTCAGAGAGCTTATGTTTATATGAGTTATTCTTATTAATATTTACTAACTAGAAAATCACCCTAAAAGCAGTGTTTTTCAAATTGTGGCTCATGAAATTAAATAATTTTTAATTATTTTAAAATAAGTAATAAATATATTATACATTAACATAAACAACATTTTAATTAGAAACAACTATATCTTTAAGGTAAAAAAAATTAGTGGCAAAAGAAGTATTGTTCTACTTTTGTAAATCTCTCTCTTCAATGTCTGCATTAAAATTGTAAAAATCTTGGATTCTCACATCTACTTCTGCACTCAATCTGTTGCAATATGCAGTTTAGTTTGAAATATACGAAGAAAATTCAGCTTAATACAGATATGAAACTGAAACTGGTGGAATTTAAACAAATTTTTTTTTTTTTGAGATGGAGTCTCACTCTGTCGCCCAGGCCAGAGTACAATGGCATGACCACAGTTCATTGTTGCTTTGAACTCCTGGGCTCTTGTGAGCCTCCTTCCTCAGCCTCCTGAGTAGCAGGACTACAGGCATGTGCCACCATACCCAGCTAATCTTTTCTTTTTCATAGAGATGAGGTCTTGCTATGTTGCTCAGGTTTTTCTCAAACTCCTGGCCTCAAGAGATTCTCCCACCTCAGCCTCCCAAGTGCTGGGATTACAGACATGAGCCACCATGCCTGTCCAAATTTTTTAATTTGTATAAATTTAAGGAGTACAAGTATAATTTTGTTACATGCATAGATTACATAGTGATGAAATCAGGGCTTTCAGGGCATCCGTCTCTCAAACAAAGTACCTTGTACCCATTAATAATCTCTCATCATCCACCCCTCAGTCAGTGAATAAATACATATATATATTGAGTTGGAGTCTTACTCCATTGCCCAGGTTGGAATACAGTGGCATGCTCACAGCCACCCCAGCGTCAACCAGTTGGGCTCCAGAGATCCTTCCGCCAAGGTGCCCAGGCTGGTCTTGAACCATGGGCTCAGGCAATCCACTCACCTCAGCTTCCCAAAGTGCTGGGATTACAGGCTGAGCCACCGAGCCCAGCCATTAATATTTTTTAGCAGTCCTTTCAAATAATGATAACGCACCAAAGCTTTATGAAAGGTAACTTAAGTTTAATTTTAAAACCATGCCAATGAACTCTTCACATACAGTGACATTAAAATCTATTCTTCTGTATTTCATTAAAATTAAAATTTTAACCTACTAAGAAAAAAAAGAAAAGCCACAGACTCAAAGTAAATACTTACAAATTATGTATCTGGAAAAATGACTTCTAACCAGAGTATATAAAGAAATGTTACAATCCAGTAATAAAATAACCCAATTCAAAAATGGGCAAAATATTGAGTAGACAGTTTATTCAAGAAGAAGAACAAATGACCTACAGGCACCTGAAAAAATGCTCAACATCATCAGTTATCAGGGAAATATAAATTAAAATCACAATGAGATACCTTTTCATACCCACTAGGATGCCTGTAACAAAAAAGATGGACAGTAACAGGGTTGGAAGAATGTGGATAGACTGGAATCCTTGGAGACTGCAAGTGGGACTGGAAAGCAGTGCAGTCACTTGGAAAAAAGTTTGGCAGTGTACAAAAACTTCAAACATGGAATTACGATATGCTCCAGAAATTCAACACTCAGGTTTATACCCAAGAAGTCTGAAAATGTATGTCCACAAAAAAACTTGTACACAAATGTTCATAATGACAAAAATACATACTAGCCAAAAATACAAAACAACTCAAATGTCTATCAACTGATAAAAGGATAAATAAGGCTGGGTTTGATGGCTCAGCTGGTAATCCCAGCACTTTGGGAGGCCGAGGCGAGTGGACTGCCTGAGCCCGTGGGTTCAAGACCAGTCCAGGCACCTTGGCGAGACTTTGTCTCTACAATAAACCAAAAAATTAGCCAGGCACAGTAGCGTGCACCTGTAGTTCTGGCTACTTGGAAGGCTGAGGCAGAAGGATCACCAGAGCCTAGCAGGTCGACACTGGGGTGACCATGAGTGTGCCACTGCACTCCAGTCTGGGCAACAGAGTGAGATTCCAACTCAAAAAAGAAAAAGAAAAAAAAAAGGATAAATAAAATGTGATACATCCATGCAATGGAATTCTATTCAGCATTTAAAAAAAAAGACTGAACTATTGATAAACACAATGATATGGATGAAGCTCAAAAACATTAAACTAAAAAGATATACACAAAAACTATACATTGTATGATGTCATTTACATAAGATGCCCACAAAAGGCAAGACTACAGAAACAGAGAGTAGAGCAGTAATGCCTGAAGCTGGTAAAGGGAAGAGACTACAAACTGGCACGAAACAACCTTTGGGCATGATGCAAATGTTTGAAAATTAAACTGAGGTGATGATGGGAAAACTGTGTGAATTTACTAAAATCAATGAATTGTAAATGTAAAAGGGGATATATTTTTGTGGTAAGTAATTCTACCTCAATGAAGCTGGCTTTCAATATTCATTGGTCTATTTTGAACATTTACCTATACATGATTTTATAGTATTACTCACTGATCACTTGAAAATACTGGTTCACTGTGTTGTTCAGTGCTTCCAAATGTTGACACATTTCATTATGCACTATCAAAAAGTCACATTTCTTTAACATTATCACCAATCTCATCAGAAAACTAATGGGAAGCTGCTAAGTATACTGTGGCAGAAATAAGTTTTCCAAAATTTAATCTTTACTTTAATGCTCAAACTGGTAAGAAATTTTCAATTGTTTTCTTTGAAGTGACAGGGTCACTTTGCTCATTTTCAGAAAATCTTTGCCAACTACCAAAGTCTGAATGAGTAGTTACAGTAAAAATTATGTTCTATGTGGAGAGAAACATGTTGCCACAAAAACTTGTACACAAATTTACATAGGATTACTCATAATAGACAAGAATTGGAAACAATTTAAATGTCCTTCAACTGATAAATGGATATATAAAATGTGGTATATTTATACAACAAAATATTTGACCATGCAAAGGAGTGAGGTACTGATACATGCTACAATACGGATGAACCTTGAAAACATTATTTAACTGAAAGAGGGCAGACACAAAAGGCCACATATAAAATGATTTTTTAAGAAAGTAGGATTTATTAAGAAGACAGAAAAGCTCCCACAGTGGGAGGGGATCTGAAAGAGGTTGCCCGGTTTGACTATTTTATCAATATAAAATGTCTAGAATAGGCAAATTCATAGAAAGGGCAAGTAGATTAGTGATTGTCAGGAGCTGGGGGAAGAGAAAATGGGTGTGATTACTTAGACGATATAGAGTTTCCTTTGGGGGTGATGTTCTGAAATTATACGGTGGCAATGCGTGCTCAATATAATAAAAACGCTGAAACCTACTAAATGTACACTTCATATGGTTTAAGTGGTTAAATAGTTAAAATTTTATGTTATATGAATTTTCTCTCAATTTTTTTAAAGGCTAGATAAGCTTGCAATACAATTGTGCAACTAATTTTTTGAGATGACCATGTGTAGATACTGTATCCTTCTCATTTCATTACATAGAATATTAAAAAGATAAGAACTCAAGAATCAAAATCTAATTAAATTAATTATTTTTATTACTTCAAGGACTTTCTTAAGTGAAACTATCTTTGCTATTTTTCTTAAATCCCGAGTTTGTGACAGTGAAGGTAATAATGCCTTAGTGTAAAGACACTGTCTTGATTTGTGCTAACTTGTCAGCAGTTTCATCCATTCTGCGTTTGTGTCAACTCAATGACAAGGAAAATAATATCTCATTATTATAAAAAGAGTTTTGATCTCAACAAAACCTCTGAAAGTGTCCTAGAAACCCTGCAGACTACACTTTGAAACAGGAGTTTATATGTGTCTACAAAAAGTATGGAAGGATATATACTATACAGCTAATTACAGTGATTAGCTATGCAGAGATAAAATACTCAGTAATAAATGTATTGGTGTGTGGTGGCATGCATCTGTAGTCCAGTTACCCATAAGGCTGAGGCAGGAAGACTGCTTGAGTCTAGTAGTGCGAGGCTAGCCTGAGCAACATAGTGAGACCCACCCCATCTCCTAAATAAATAAATATACATAATATTAAAACAAATTTTAAACCTGTATATAAAAAACTAAAAGCCCTCTTCAAGGACATAAAAATAGACTTAATTTAAAAGCACAACAATGTCAGTTTTCTCTACATTAATTTATAAGCATAAGGTAATATAAAAAAAGTATTAATAGATCTTTTTCCCCTCAAACTAGACAAATTCTAAGTTCATACAGAAAAGTAACTAAGAATAGTCATAAATTTTCTGAAAAAGAAAAACAGTTAGAGAGAACGTAGCCCTGTCAAATATTAAAAAATTAAAAGAGCTGGAATTAGCTCATGAATATTTAGATCAACCAATGTAAGAGGATAAAAATATCCAAGCATAAAGGTGAATTTAGAATGTTAAACGGGTGACTTCTCAAAATTGATGAGTAAAGACAGACTTTAAAATAGATGATGTTGGTAGCCACTGATAAGAGGCAAAACTAGATTCATACCTCATACTGCACATCAGTGTAACTCCATAAAGATCAGAATTTAAATGTAAAAAAAAAAAAATGACCTCTAAGTTA